GTCATATAACAATATTTTTGCATATTCAGAGCAATGTCCAGGAATTTCTTACAATAAAACTAGTAATAATAATGAGGAAAAAGTATCACATGCTACAACATCATTAATCAATCCCTCAAGGGGTAAAAGGTACAAAAAGGCCCTTAAAGGCGCAAAAGGTGATTATAGAGAAACCCCTTTGGTAACAAATAAAAAAAAATCCTCCAAGAGCATAAATAACTAAGTCCTAAGGTCATTGACCCTCTTTTGGAGCCCGTCGTTCCTTGGGAATATTCTTTGAGAAATCACTGCTCCATTTGGCAATTTCCTCCATTACCTTTTTGCCTTCATGCTTAGTTCAGGTGCTTTCATCAGGAGACACTCCAGGCTCTATAGAAGGAGGAACATTCTCATCAACCTCTAACTGGCCATCACAAACCACTTTTAACAAGTCCATTTGGCTCAGGTCCAACCTAGGGTGAAGGAAGGATTTTTTCTTCTTTGACCGCTCAAATATTAATCAGAAGTTTCCACTAATTTGTACTTGAAGGCGAACAACTCCTCCTTAATTTATTTTAGGAATTGAGGGCCTCTTCAAGAGACCCCTTCAAACTTTTCACAGGTTCAGTGTAAGCCTGAACTTCTGGCCAACCTTCTTAAGTAACAATTTGTAATCCTCATTCTCTTTGATTAGGGTCCCCAGTCTCTCTTTTCCCATGGAAATACTTTCATTTCCCAAAGCGATTTGGGATTTCAACTCGTCCACAACTTGGATAAACTTCTCTCATTTGACCCACTCCACATGTATAGCTTTTAGCAGGTAATTCTCTGCCAAGTTTTACAACTTGAGAGGTAACATACCACGGATGGCCTCAGAGTCTCCAAGGAAGTCCTATAGTAAAGGGAGGAAAGCTCCACTAAAATTGACAACATAAAATGTGAAATCAATCCACAAAGAAGATAGTGTGTGAGATTTATCTTTTACTGGAGAATAAAACCCCCGCCTTATCTTTTCCAAGGACTGCTGCTAGATCACCTTTCAAAATTTGCGAAGAACTTCTGCATTCCCATTGGATATTAGGAGGGCATGTATTATTAGGGGTATGGACTTCATTATATATCTTACCCTCTTTGATCATTAGGTCTCCCGAGCGACTCTAGGGATTGTTTGTCATATGGCGCAAATTTTTTTCCTAGCCATGCACTCCTTCCTTTCAACTAGGGGAATGGAAAACATTTTATCTGCAAAGGCGCATAATAAAATCATAAGACACATGGAAAATAAATAATTTTGAAATAATGGTTTCCACGACTATAAACTTACTCAAGTATTTATCTAACTCACTTTTTTCTCCCTGGTCCAGGGAAATTATCGTGCGAGAACTCATGACTTTGAATTCATCAAGAAATTGAACCACTCATTTCTAAATAAGGGCAAGGTAGTCAAAGTTAAAACCAACGTTTGTCACTGGATCCCCCGTCCAACATAGGGGGATGTGGGGGGAGCCATTCTCCTTGGTCGTGACCATGGAGGCACTATCTCGCCCTCTAACCCTAATGAGCCTATCTTTCAATTTTTATGTAGTGACTAGAATGAGGTTCGAACAACATCCTTACTAGTAGAGCACCTAAAGTCATTCAGTCGCCTTTGGTTCCTTCCTCAGTACCGTAGAAAGAGAAGAACATCTTCCTATTGTGAGGAAAACCTCCAACTAATGATTTTGAACCCTCTTAATCATGCTCCAACCTTTATGTGTAATCTAGGAACGAGGAACATTTACGGTCACCAAGACCTTAGTCTCAAACTAGGTCAAATGGATTAAAAGCATTAATTCATGGATGACGAGAAAGTATAGATATAAATAAGGGGTGAGCAAGTTGTGAAAGGTGACTATATGGGATCTCTCTTCCTCAGAGCACGCCTCCAAAATGGTGTTTTATTCATGGTTAGTGTTGAAGGCTACAATCTGACTTCGAAAATCCTTAATCCTCTCCACAATTGTGTACAATGACTCACAGTCTTCCACATTACAACACTTAGCATCTAGAGCCGCCATCAATTGTTAGGAGCTTCCTGGTAAAGAACAAGAAGGAAAATAATCACTATAAAAACTATTAGGGCTCTCATAGCGCCAAAAAACATCTAAATCTAAGATTTTTTAGTTAATGGAGCCACTCACTCGTTCAACATTCCTCGAGCATTGTAAGTACATTGTAAAGCACTGTCTAATGTTAGAAGGCTTCATCGTCATACCATTATCATCTAAATATCTAATTATCGCCATAAAAGGAGAAAAGAGAATAAGTGGCGACATACCTATATTTGAAGACGATAATTAATGGCTTGAGTTTGAGAAAATGGGAAACAGGTATGTCATGTGCTTGAGGGGTTCTTGGACAGTTTTCACAAAGCTTAAGAATGAAAGATATGAGAAAATTTCAATAACATGTACTGAACTTCTTTTATAGAATTAGAAATTCATCCTTATGGGTAATCAACGACTTCTTACTAGGTATCCCAATGGTTGAAAAAATTCCACACGTCCCTAACACATGTAAGAAATTATAACCAATTTGTTTTCCCGAGGTTTAAATCGTCATTGAATTCATTTAATAATTCACATGCATCTCGACTGAAGTTTGGGGTTTTTTTTTAACCTCAACTGAAGTTTGAGGATCTAGCTCATTAACATCTAGAGGTTGACCTCAAGCCATATTCGAGGGACTCGCCTCTAGGTATGTCTGAGGGACTCGTTCCAAGAACGCCTGAGGGACTCGCCTCCAAATCCACTTGAGGGACTCGTCTAAATGAAAAGAGGCGGTTAAACTAAATCATTGTTCCCTTTATAATCCCCCGTGCTCAAGGGACTATTATTGTTATATTTGCAAGGACTATGTAGAAGGCACGACACAATAATCACCAAGAGGAAATGGATAACGTCCATATCCCAAATGAGGGTTCTTGTAGCCTTTTTCTTCCGATGCTCGCTTATCGTGATGAGGGCCTATCATTTGAATTAGTTGCCCTTTGATTGGGCTACTCACCTACTTGAGAGAATATGGGGAGCCACGTGTTCATACTCAGTAACGACTTGAGAGGCAATCAATGATGAGGGACATGTTCCCTTGAAAAATAACATAATAATCACTTTTTATCCATGCTCTTGAGAGATTGGATTGTTGTTACTTTGAGCCTAAATGAAACTTAGAAATACCTCAATCCTAAGATTGAGATGGGACATTCAAATCTCTTTAAAAAACACCATAAAAAGAGTTTTCCACCGTCACAATGTGAGTTTATTCTAACAAGAATTGTTGTTACTTTGAGCCTAAAATCCAAGCCTAAATGAAACCTAGAAATACCTCAATCCTAAGATTGAGATGAGACATTCAATTCTCTTAAAAAAAACATAAAAGAGCTTTTTCACCGTCAAAATGTGAGCTTATTTTAACACTCCAACAATATTAAAAAAAAAACCAGACAACCTTTAACTACAAGAAATTTTAAAACAAAATCCTATTAAAATTGAAGTTGATCAACTTTTATAATGAATACATAGAACTTAGTAATATTTCTATTTTTTATTTTAAAGATAATTTATAAAAAAAATGTATGTTGGTTAGTAAAAAAATTATTGTTGATGTTATTGTTAGTAGAAAAATCATTATTGTTATTGTTAGTTAGACCAAATATAAATTAGTACTAGTATGTATGCTATTGTATGTTTTTGTTCTTGTTAAAGAAACATTATTATTTTTAGATTATTATTGTAAAGTTGTTATATGAATATTATTGTTTTCATATTTTTTTATGAGTAATTGTTTATCTATTAATAGTTAAAAATAATTAATTTCTTATCTGTCTTTTCTCCAAGCTAGTTAAAGATAACGTAACATGACGGTAAAAGACTGCGTGATGCCTTTATGATGTCCTAGAGCAACGCAATAACATCACATAATGTTTAACATCATGGAAGTTGAATGAAAGAAAGAATAAAAGAGAGGGCAAAATGGATGCATAACATAAGATCATAGAACAAACCCATTAAGGAAAGTGTGAAACTTGAACCTAGCTAGTATCCAATGGATGACGACATACTGAACCATCTAATTAATTTCCAAATCTCCATTTGAAAAATGAATGTGACGCCAAACTCAGTTCAATAAACTAAGTTTGAGGTGAATTCTAAGTCTTTACAACTCAGCCAACTCAGCCACCTATCAACTAATCAAATGTCTTTGTCACTGAACTGCTAGGCTCAAAGTGGTGGCGTCGCGGCTATATATTCTCCCATTTCATCTATAAGATTCTTGATTCTTTATACAACTAAATATTTATTTTCATCTCTCCTTTTTTTACTGTCACCTTCACATTTGCATTAATGGAAATGTCAAGTAATGTAATACTAGTGTGAAACATTCATGTACTGGGTTCTTTATTTTATTATTATTTTTAACTCAACAAAGAGGATAATTGTAACCATGTCTCTCTGGTAGTGGTATATACTACGTGGGCCCTCCCCTATATATGCTCTAACGCTAACCGTTTTGGTTTGTTGTCGCACAGAGAGAGAATAAAGACAAATTAAAGAAAAAAAATGTGTCGCCAGTTGCCACTCGCAGTGTCAGAAATCAGAGTGAGTATATGCAAAACAAATTGCAAATGCAATGCAACAACGTATAGTAGCAATGAGAGTGTTTTCTTGTTTGTACTATGCCAGTGACTCTGTGTGTGAGTGAGTGAGTGAGTGAGTGAGTGCTCCCACTTCTTCTTTTTTGTCCTATTCATTCTTCACTCCCGTCACGCATTTCCATTCCTTTCTATTTTTATTATTATTCCCATTTTGCCCTTCTTTCTTTACTCACCGGTTTTTTCAAAATGAGACAAATGATGTATATCCATAAAGGGTAGGCAAATCGGTCATTTTACGCGAAACATTGTGAAGTGTTATATAACAAACAACACGCAGCTTCATTCTTCAGGATTTGCTCAGAAACTCTTTGTTTTCTCTCTCTGAAATATGGCAGACCCTTCAACCATTTACGAGTTTCTGAAGCAGCAGCAGCAACAACAACCACCAACTTCATCTTCAGCTTCAAAACCTAAAAGATCAGCACCTCACCAACCAACAACAAGAACTTTCCAATGCAACTTCTGTTACCGCAAGTTCTATACTTCTCAAGCTCTCGGTGGTCACCAAAACGCTCACAAACTTGAAAGAGCTGCTGCAAGATCACGAACCATCAACCTCAACAACAACAACAATGTTGTCTCTCTCTCATCACCTCAACCACCACCACCACCTCCATTTTCACTCATCAATGGCTCCAACTCCAACTCCAACTCCAACTCCAAACCCTTAACACAACTTGAACAGGGTCATTTCTTTCATCACCATCACCCTTACTGGCAACAATTCGAAATGGAGTCGTTACAGTTTCAAACACATCATCCTCATCCTCATCCTCACCATCACCATGTTGCAACAACAACAACAACAACAAATCTACCTGTGGTTCACTTCAACCCTTCTGCAGCTTCATCTTCAACTCATTCTCACCATGTTTTCTCCAACAATGCTGCTTCTCCACCTCAACTTGTTGATGCGTCTGACCATGTCAATCTTGACCTCACACTTCACTTGTGAAAGTTTCCGCTTTTCTTTCTATCTTTTCACTTGTTTTTTTTAAGGTTTTGTCGTTAGTTTTTTGTTTCAAACAAACATTATCCTTTTCTGTTATGATGAGAAAGGAATCTTAGGGTTTTATTTTGTTACCAACAGTTGAGCTGTTCAGTTCAAATCTTAATCTACTATAATGTTATTAGTTTTTTTTTAAATCATGTATTGCTTTATTTTTATGGTCATTTTTTGATGTTCAGATTAAGGTGAATATGTTAAAAGAAAATTTGCATGTTACATATGTAATACTTCATTTGATTTGGAATAGTACAATCATTCTGATATAATGCACCATCAATCGCTTTAACAACAAATGTTGCACGTCCATCAAATTCTTTTGGATGATTGATTTTGATGGGGTAGACTTAGTTGAGAGAATTAATGATTATTCACTACGTTTTGTGTGTTACCTATCTTTCCATTTTAGCATAAGAATTGGTAATTGAACTTTAAATGATAGTATAAAAATTTACATGACATGAGAACATGAAACTCAATGGTTTGCAATCAATTGTAAAGTGGATTCCTACTCAGAAAGAGAATGTGAAAAGACCTTGGTGTTTTGATCTTTATGCTATTAATGTTTAGTTTTGTTAAAGGCTAAAGAGGGACCCTAGACAATGTAGTTCAATGTTGTGAAGTTATAGCTGCTGGATGACGATTACATTTCGAAAGAGGTGTGCTATTGAACACATTTTTTTTTACATCTACGTGATATTCAAAAGGAGGGACCCTAGACAATTTAGTTCATAAATGAGAAGAAGCACCAATACTGAGAGCAACACATAAATGAGAGACACAACATATTCACTCAAAATTTAAAGGTGATGGGTGTGTGGGTTCACCCACTTATAAATGCTCAAATCTTTATATTTTTAATCAAGGTGAGACTCCAACTCACACTTGATTTATTATTTTCAATTAATATCTTAAAGATAGATTTGTTGGAAATAAGATATTTTGTGTTTAGAGAAAGTGTGTGAAAATATTAGAGACTTGAATAGAAATTTAATAGATAGGAAAATTCTTTGTTAAAGAGAGAACTTTGTATTTTTTTTTGATACAAAAGTTTAAGATTACATCACTATTTATAGTACTTTAAGAAGAATTCTAGATACACTAATTCTATAGAGTGCTCAACTCTAAAAGTTCAAAGAGTATTCTAGAAAATTACAATCATAAGAAATATTTAGACACTCCAAACACTACAAGATTTTTCTATAAACATTAAGAAGATTTCTTAACACACCATATATGTTTCTTACGCACCACGCAAAAATGTCAAAATATCCTCAGATTTCGGAGATATATCTCCGGACATACTATGCACTAACATTACGTCTTACCAACTGAGTATGAATGCTCAAAAAAATCCTGGAGATGCATCGCTGGGTATTTTCAACAAATATCATGAAAATTAATAAGTCCGGTAGTTATTCCAGAGATGCATCTCTGGAAGTTTAGGGCAGGATTTTGAAATTTGCTATCAACTTTGCATGTTAGATACTTTCAAAAATGCATATCCAGAATAATATGATAAAACACAGACCTGCATGATCATACCCCAATACTTGTTTTTCACTCAAACCCTCCCCAAAAAGCCTTCCATTCTTAATCCATATTTTCACTCCAAATCATCAATCTTGTGTTTCATCATATCAAATGGAGGAAATTAAGTTGTAATTTCAGGTAAAGATCATTTATTTCAAGCCTCATTGCTCACATTAATCCTGTTTTTTGTCTAAGAAAATGAGCGTTTTTTCTGGAAATGCATTTCAGAAACGAGTATGAACTCATCCGGAAATGCATTTCTGGTATCTGTCTGTGTTCATTTTTTCAGTTCTGTTTTCAGCATTAGCTCTTATTCCGTGTTTTGTGGTAATTGTTTTTATTAGATATGGTGCACCCCGATGTTTTTCCCAAACAAGTTGGTTTCCCACTGTTAAAGGTGATACTGTGAAGGCAGTAGATGTTGGCAAGCATTTTAAAAATGAACAAGAGTTTGAATTTCATGACCACATGCTTCAGTATATTTGTACGGAGGCCTCAAAACTGGGATTTGGTGTGGTTATCAGAAGGTCCGATAATGGTTCGGATAAAATATGCGCTTTTGTGACAATGACGTGCGAAAGAAGTGAGAAACATAGACATTCTCTTCAAATTTTTAAATGAGACGATACTGGTTCAAAAAAACGTGAGTGTCCTTTTAAGGTCCATGGTTATATGTTGGCAAACATAAAGTGGAGATTTAATGTCATATTTGGTTTGCATAATGTTGCACCCTAAAATTTGCCCAACCTTATTCACTTGGTTTATGTTTCATTGTCATTAGCATTTGCATATAGAGTCATGTACATAGACTAACCATCTGCATAGCATAAGCATAGCAAGTCATTCAACAGGGGACCAATCATTATTTTCATCTCTAGAGGCCTATCAAGAGGTTATTATCCCAAGTCAATCTCATTCAAGTCATCAGGAAAGAATTTGAAAGCAAAGAGTTCAGCAGATCAAGCCTTGAGTCCATCTCCTAGTTGAGGGTGTCTGAGGGTCAGCAAGAGGATTGTGAGCTATGAGTGAAGTCATGGAGAGTATCTATACATTATGAGAGACTTAGAAAGTCATTTGGAGAAGGGGACAAGTCATTGATGAGAGCACAAGAGCTACAGTTGAAGACAGTCAACTAGGGTTTCATCTGGGTCAACCCTAGGTCAACCCTAGGTCAATTGACTGATTTAAAGGGCATTCAAGTCTATTGGAGAGATGTGGGGTTCATCATTGGACATATAAAAGAGGATATGGAGATATGCCAAGGAGAATTCAAGAGAAATCAAGGAGAAGAGGAGTTTCTAAATTAGGGTTTCTGTGTAAAATCCCCTAGTTTAGGTCAAATTTCCAAGCAAGATAAGTCAAAATGCTAGCTTCAAATGGCTTCTTGGCCAACATGAAACTTGTAGAGGATCTCAAGACCTTTAATTTGAGTGGTGGAAGACATCAAGGAGATTTATAGAACTCAAGTTATGGTCCTTGCAAGTTACAGGTCATCTGAGGTATCTGAATTTTTGTCTGTGAAAGTGACTTGACTTCCAAGCAATTTTTACCCCTCGAGGAGATTTAAAATGAATTCTTGGTCAACATAAGAATTGTTCCTCATTGTCTTAGCTTTCTAGAATGGTATAGTATGCCTTCATATGATGTGTGGAACTCAACTTATGGTCTTGGCAAGCAAAGGGTATTTTGGGCATTTGTGAATTACAGGTCATTTTAACCTATGTCCAAAACTCATACAAGGAGGCCTCAAATGGAAAAACTTACAACATCAAACTTGCTCCAAATGGGATTTTAAGTCTAGAAAGAAGGTCACAAATTGTTGGAAAAGCTCATAACATGAAGTTGCATAATTGGTCAAAATTTGAACTAAAATGGCTTATAATTTAAAGAAATTCAAAGTGAAAAATGGTTTGGGAGATTTACAAGTCCAAATGGAGACTTCCAATATATGATTTTGAATGGAAAAGACATTTCAAAGACAATGGTTCAAACACTTTTTTGAGTTTAGAAGGAAAAAAGAAAGTTATCTTTGGTTACTTGCATTTTAAGAAACATAGCCAAAATGAATCAAAGTTGGAAGGCAAGGGAATGTGTAAGATGGATCTAGAAGTTACCATTGGGGTCTATATATTCATGAAATGCAGATTGATCAAGGGTTGGCTTCATTTTTCACCAAGAATCTCCAAAATTCTCTCATTCTTTTTCATTGAATTTTCATTCCAATTCCTCAAATTCTTCACCAAATCATCATCACAATCAACTTCATTATACTGTTTCATCATCATAGACCAGAATTCAATCAAGAACAAGGTGTGATTACTCCATTTTCGAGCACTTCCATCATCAACATCAAAATTGAAGTTTCAAGTGGATAGCACAATTCAAGCCAAGCCTCACTCAAGTGTTGCATACAGAATCAATCACTGAGTTAATTGATCAAGATCCAAGCCTTGGAAGCCTCAGATCCACAAGTTTCCATAGCTGTTTTCAAGCTTTTGCACCAGGTGCGTTTTCATTCAAATTGCTTGATTCAGTTAGTTAGGCATAGCTTTGTTAGTTTAGATATAATGTAGGATGTTAGTAGAGCAATTAGGATGAATTTGGAGTAGATTAGTGATGATTGTTAGCAGGTGGTAGAAACTGTTAGGGCTTGAAACTTGTAGTAGAATGCATCATAATCTTAGCTTGATAGATCAGAATGATAACCATTAGTTATAGATTAGATTAGTGCAAGTTTGATGGAGAATTGTGTTGATGAGTTGCAGAGGATTTCCATGGTAACCAGAACTTGTTGCTATCGGGTTTGTTGATCTAGTGAATTTCAAATCAATCTAAGACCATAGGATTATAGAGGGAGAGATTCTGAGCATTTTTCATGTTGGGATCGCGTTGATTCATGGCCTGGAGAGTGAGAACAGATTGGTGTAAGTTTGGTTCGTGCATGGACATTCATGGTGTAAACCCTAAGTTTCAGATCCAAAGGAGGAAGACGAAATCTGGACGGTTCGTTTCATGTAGACTTTTGACTTGGAGAGTGATCGAATGGCTCATATTCAATTCAGATTTGGAGGGAAGTGTGTTGGTGCCAAACGCACCGTTTCATTAATTGAAACGGGCGGGCCTGAGTGATGTTGTTATTCCCACCCCCAATACCAAGCCCAAATCAGTTTTCCACGTGATTTCTGTTCCTATTTTCACCCCCCTGCGCCTCTTTATTTTTTATTGTTGCTGAATGATTCTGGGCCTAGTGTAATTTGCTATGCACACCCCCTGTCTGCCTGGCCCATCCAAATATCAACTGCGCGCGCCTGCTATTCTAACCCCCTCCCTCATTTTAATTCAATTCTTTTCTTTTAATTCACTTTAATTTTACCAACTTTGAAAATTCATAATAAATTCATAAAAAATCATTTTTA